AATCGCCGGCACCATCTCAAAGAAGATGTCGATGAACGCCTTGAAGATGTCCCGATCCACCTTGAAAGTGCGGTCCCAATAAGTCTCTTGGACACCATCGGGTGCCCCAGCACCAAGTTGGTTGGCCAAGGTTGACATGTTCGCAATGGCGGTTTGGTCGATGATCGCTGGGATGGCTTTCCAGTCGTCGAAGACTGCTGGCCATGGCGTAGGCTCTGAGTACTCTAGATCCTCGGCCGCAATCTTCATACCAGCCTGGAGTGCAAAAGAGACGATCTGAGCTTGTTTCGTGTCCTTCTCTGCGTTGACAGCATAGTTGTAGTATGCTTCGTACACTTTGTCCCACTGATCCTCAGTATGGGCGCGCTGCCCACCCCACATTTCACCTTGAACAAAAGTTCTCATGTTGAACTTGGTGACAATGCCAAAGTTGTTGCCACCCCCTCGAAGAGCCCAATAGAGGTCTGGAAACTGGGTAGCACTCGCGTGCACAACGATGCCCGAGGCTGTCACAACCTCGAAGGAATCGATGTTGTCGCAGGCCCACCCATAGGCGTTTGCGTAATGTGAGATACCCCCTCCTAGAGTCAGTCCAGACACACCGACGGATGAGATCTGTGTACTATTAGCAGAGCCGTGTAGTAGGGAAGTGTGGAGAAATAGGGAAGGAAAGCAACGTACACGACCACCAATGACTTCAAGGCCATACTGCTCAATCCATGGGTACACGTCAGCCCAACGATTTCCTGAGCCAACAGAGGCGATCTTCTTGTCTGCAGATAGGGTCTTCTCGGTGAGTTTTTCGAGGGCAATGGTAATGCCTCCCTCAATGCTAGATCCACCAGCAAAGGCAGCGTGTCCACCTCCTTTCACAGCAAAAGGACATTGCGTAAGTCGGGACAAGAGCACGACAGTTGAGACTTGCGAGGCACTACTAGGCTTGAACACACAAAACGGGTTGACAACGGCTTGCTGAGCCGCCCAATAATCGCCGGTGAAAATGTCGTATCCTGCACTTCCTTCTGAGAGCACAGTACCGTTACCAAAGGAAAACCTTAGGGCTCCGCACTATACGCCTTATCAGTATCGATCTTGAGCACTATGCAGAGATTTGTATCAACATACAGCTATCGAACAAGCACTGGATGAAGATCGCTCCGCCAGATCTGCCAGACCAGGAATACCAGTGACATCGAACCCGTTGTCTACCAAGGCTTTGGTGACATTGAAGTCGTCAGGCTCGAAACCGCTTGCCAACACGCAGGCTGCAAAGGCGCTTGTCGAAGCAGCTATCGTAAACTTCATGCTCCCTGTTCGCCGGTCTGCGGAAGATGCCGGACGATGGTGAATAGCTAGTACCGAGAGAGTGGCTCACTGACTGAGTTGCAGGGAGCCACTGCAATTAATGTACTCCCGAGTAGGTTTACCATATTCGTTCCAGGCCGCGAACGACAAACGGACGTGTTGTCAGTACTTGTCCGACGGGGCCTATAGCACCCTAGCGACGCGGAACGGACAGTTCGGTCAAATTTTTAGTGGACAGTAACCTCGAAGTTTGTGGGGTAGAGACTAGTCTATTGACGCGAGGCGCGCCGTGGCAAAAGTATAGCATGGTAGCTGATAGCGGTATCCATCTGGGAGCTGGTGTGGCTGCATGGCAATTTCGACGTAGCGCAACATCGGTGGAAGCATGGAAGACATCTTTGTTCTTTTTCTCCGAGGGCTCTGCGGGTGGATGCATCGCTTCCGATGAGCTGGGTTGCTGTGCCTCACTCTTGCAGCGATTCGCGGTCTCCACTTTGCAGCGTTTGGAGTAAGACACAAGAATTCACTTGCCAAGCAAGCGTTCACGGGTCGTGTTGGGAGTGGATAAGGCAGGAGCCAGCCGTGCCGCCCTCTCATCTTTGCCACGGGACGGTTCAATGCGGCATGTACGCCACCACCACGCCAGCTGTACACTACTATCCGGGCATCCGCCAACCGCAAGACACCTCTTTGCACCCGCACCTATCGGACAGGAGACAGCTGACTGCTTTCATCCGACTTACTGCTGAGCAGATTTTCACGAGCAGCCACTTCTACGGCTATCCAAAATCTCACCGTTTAGGTTCGTACCGCGGTAAAGTCTGTGAGCCAATATGTGATATGCTAGTCTCTTTGTGGCTTGCCTCGCCGAAGCCTGCTGCCAGGTGGTAATCTCCAGGCACATGTCGGTATTGACAGAAAAAGCATGCTCTCCGCTAGGTCCGCTCTGGCTACGAGGTCAGGCACCGTGCAGCTTCGGACGCCGTAGCGCAAACACGAGCAACACACGACGTGGAATAGCGCGAGCGGAGAACTGCACCCCCCAAGCTAATGTTATTTAGCCAGGAGGCGTTTTGGGGGCTTGCTGACCTTTGTCCACCACGGAACACCAAACGTGCTCAGCAACACTTGAGCAAGGCCATTACAACTACTTTCGGACTGCTTGAAAAGAGTGCGCGACGTCGCGTAAGAGGGAACGATTGGGATACCAGATTCCAGGAACCGGGAACTGAGGACCGGGGCATTCCAGTCGCCGTCTAACCCTTACCCACACTCCGACACGCGATGGCCCCCATGTAAATCAATCTGCATATGCGTCTTACGGGCTTTTGCACCCCTACGAGCACTGTATTTTGGGTAATCCCTGGCAAATTCCAGCTGCGAAGTGTTAAAATCCACAGTGTCGGGCTTCGTGGATCGAAATTCGAGGTTCATTCCATCTTGACAGCTCCAGCGGCACGGCCTTGTCGCGACGCACAACCGCTTCGGGGAACGTATCCTAAGGATTCTGTTATACTTTGTGCAAGTCTGAACGACAACTGGAAGCACACGCCTCAGCAACCATGTCCACGGGCGCTGACTGGATCTCGCAGCATGATTTACTCCGGACAGACTACGCCATGCTGGCGATGACATCGACGGTCTTCATCGCACGGATCGGTGTTCAGATTTGGCGGCGCAAACCCATTGAAGCACAGGACATCTTGCTTTACATTGCATTCGCTGCCTATCTTGCTTTCACCATTCTTTACATCGTCATTACGCCCATTTTTTTCAAACTTCAGGCTCTCCAAGCTGGTCGCATTGCGCCATGGCCCACCATGATGGAAGACATTATTCTCGCCGCGAAAGTCATGTGGCAGAGCGGAATGGAATATTGGACGTGTCTTTGGTTTGTGAAGTTCTCACTATTGGCACTATACAAGAAGCTGTTGTCTGGAATGCCCAAGAAGTATCTTTGGATCTGGTGGTTCACACTGATCTTTTGCGTTGTGGTATGTAGTAGTTCACGTTGCTTTGTCTTTACGCGAATAGCCTCCAGCGAGCACGACTAATATGGCACAGACATGGGCAACGTGTATCATTACAGGCCCTGGCCTAGCCTGCAATGACACCAAGAGCTTCTTGGGTGAGGGCGTTCTGTGTTCATCACCCAGTGAAACACGCCGGCAAACTGCAAATCTCTATTATGCATACGCAGTGGACACTGTGACCAACATGATGGGTACGTTGAAAACGCGTAACTTGATAGTATTCTCAGTACTGAAAAGTGGCAGTCATGTTCCTACCCATCAGGCTTATCTGGAACCTGCAGATGGAAAAGCCGAAGAAGATCGGTTGCGGTCTACTTTTCGCATCCGGTCTTGTTTGTATACTGTTCTCGACTATCCGTATTGTGCAGGTTGGTCAGGATGGAAGGCCTCGCTCGCCAGATCCAAAGTGGCTGACCATGTGGACCATCATCGAATGTTCGACAGGTAAGCCCAACGCACCTCAATATCCTGTACTGGGCTGACATAATGTCAGCTATCATCATCGGTTGCTGTCCAGGGCTCGCATCCGCTGTCCCAAAGAGCCGCTTCAGACGAACAGACAGTATCTCCTATGACACACAGGGCTACGTTCGACAATCGCCTAATCGATCCAGTGGAAATGCACCAAAGAGTCATGGCTTGAGGAATATGCTCGGTTCCAGGAATCGCGACAAAACCAGCGAGAAGATGTCAGGAGACATTAGTATGTCGAGGACGGGGCATGAGAGCGAAGAACAGCTTCCAGAACGCCGAACAACAGGCTCCGGTGTTCTTATTACAGATGAACTACGCGAGCAACAGAGGCTTCGGATGGAGGAAGATGAACGCATGGAACAGGCACGCCTCAAGTTTGAGCAGTCGCATGCGTGATCTTGATGGGCAGAATACATGAATTTGTTGAGAAGCGCTTTACATGCTGTGACAGTCCAATTGGAGCATTCAGTGAATCGTATTACGTTGTACTGTCTTTCGAGAACGATGACCATGATTTGGTCCACGACTGTTGAAAACCATGATCACCTATCATTGAATGTCAAAGAAAGTCTCTCTTTGATGGCCGGCGCGTGTTGCTTCTGTTCTCACCATCGGCAGAGGCGATGCAACATCTTGGTCGTCTCCAAATGAAAAATATACTGCAAATGTCTGGTTGTATTTAACAGTGACTATGGTTATTATGACAAGGACACAGCTATCAGTGACCTACTGCCCACAAAATGGTCTGAGCTTTGAACAAGCTGTATTATAAAGCAGCTACGCCTTGCTTTGATCCAGCATAAAATATCTCTGGGTGCTGTTAGAACAACTCCATAGAGCACATCCTGATGCATAATCGGGTGGCGAAGAAGGCGGGCGATGGAACAAGACGCAACGCGAGGCGCTAGTGGGAGCGGCAAGTGCCGAGCTTTGATTGCGCAGAACTTGAGCAGGCGCTCCGAGACAATTACTTCCTTCTCCACACACCCACGCTCCAACCCACTGCACTTGACGCGCACCCATCTTCACGACTGACGACACATCTCTTACGACCGTCGCACTCCGTACCCGCGATAGCCTTACGTCACACGTCACGGAAGTCGCGTTCCTCGTCGCTCCCTTTGTTTTCCACCCACCGCCAACATCCAATTCACGCGACAAGCCCATCAGCCAACGCCTGCCTTCACCATGGCTGTCGATTTCTCGAGCGAGTCGCCGCTGGCGATGCAGCTGCAGCAGGTGGTTCAACCCAAGCTCGCCGAGTTTGGGTGGACGACGGGCGGCGAAGACACGACGCTTTTCGAGTACATCCTCCTTATGCTGGCCAATGACAAGAATGAAGCGCAGGTCGCATCAGAACTCTCAAATGACCTGCTCGACCTGGGCCCGGAGAACACAGAGACACAACAGTTTGCGCAGTGGTTATTCGAGCAGATCGAGCACCTTAAGCAGTCGAGCGGCGGCAACGCGCAGGTCACACAGTCAATCGAGAACCAGATGGACAGCACCTCGAACGACAACTCGGCAGCTGCGCAAGATACAGATATGGAAGGCGCATCAGAAGGACAAGGCAATATGTATGTGAACTCTCTACTTTCCCGCCCCTTTAGGGCAGCTCCACAAGCGAGGAGAAACTGCAAGGCGACCGCGCAATCACGCGCATGCCAAATCAATGCGACGTCGAAGCTTACGGCGGCTCCTCTGCGCTCACATTCCTCGTATCAAAAACAGCAGATTCTAACTGTAAACAGTCCTACAGGCCCCAAGGCTATGCGCAACGGCAGCGGTGCCCAAGCAGCACGTCCAGCGCGAGGCGGGCGGATGCTTAACCAACTTAACAAGAACATGGACCGCAACAGCGACTCGGTATTACATCGCGTACGTGGCGCCGGCGGTGGAGTTGGTCGTGTGAACGCGCACGCTCGCGATCCGCCAAAAGGCCCACGGGGCCAGAACATCGGTCGCGGAATCGAGGCAATGGCAAACGGCCGCGGTATGGGCAACGCCAACATGAACATGGGCCAGAACAACATGAACGGTATGGGTATGGGTGGTATGCCAGGAATGCCTATGCCGGGAATGGGTGGTCAGAATGGCATGCCTGGCATTGGCCTGAACCCGCAACAGCAAATGGCTCTTATGCAGATGTACGAGCAGCAGGCGCAGATGATGCAGCAGATTTTCTCCGGTGGCCAACCAACCGGCTTCGTCAACCCTAACTTCAATGGCAACAACCGGGGACCTAAGAAGTCGTTACATCAACGCATAGACCGGCCACACCAGGGCGGCAGAGGCATGAACCCGAATGCTAAGACTTTCACCAAGAAGGAAGGCGAGGACGAAACGATGGCAGATGGTCCAGCTGGAGAGAGCGGTATGGACGTCGAACTGCCTTCCGGCCGCCCAGATCCCTCGTCCACCATGTGCAAGTTCAACTTGCGATGCAGCAACCCCGACTGCCACTTCGTTCACCAGTCGCCCGCTGCGATACCCGGAACCCCGGTCGACATGAACGATACGTGCGACTTCGGTGCGGCATGCAAGAACAAGAAGTGTGTCGGCAAGCACCCATCGCCTGCGCAGCGACAGAAGTTCCAATCAGAGCAGGAATGCGCCTTCTGGCCCAACTGCCGCGATCCCTCTTCGTGCCCCTACAAGCATCCCACATCAAAGCCTTGCCACAACGGCGCCGACTGCGCTGTCGAGGGCTGCAAGTTTGGACACAGTGCCATCATGTGCAAGTTCAACCCGTGTCTTAACGCCCGCTGCTTGTACAAGCATGAGCCTGGTCAGAAGAAGATCACTACAAACAAATGGGTTGCCCCCAAGGAGGGAGAACACGTCAGTGAGAGGAAATTTGTTGACGACGAGCAAAAAGAGGAGTTGATTATTCCGGGCAAGGACGAGGAGATGCAACAGGCACCGGCGAATGAGGGCCTGGACGTGCAGGCATAGTAGGATCCTGAGCTATTTTACTGGGACGTGGGTGGTGGATATGATACCATTGAGATGACGGGAAGGTGATGTTGGGTTGAACGTAGAGCATTGTATTATAGTCTGGATCTGCTGGACGAGGCGTTAGGGTTGGTGGCATGGCCCCAACGAGGAGGAGAGAGAATTACTTGTTTCTGGCGGCCCGCATTGGCTGCGCTCTTCTTCTTACACATTCGCATCCTCTTACGCGTGACATTTGTGACTTTCTGACATGTCCCCTGGATGTACCCGCTATTTTGCAACGATTACTAACCAGACAAAGTGCTGCATGCATTTGCAGTCAATGCATCTACAGTATGTACTGGATCTAGTAGGACTACGAAATACTGTAATAGTTGCGATGTCGACTATATGCATGACCACGGATAACACGGTACCACAAGCCTTGGGAGTATAGCGATTCGCGCTCACGGTGGACTATCGAATCAAGACTATTCCGAACAAGGCCTAGCCTGTCCGCCACGTTTGCTCAGCCACCCTCTTTCGTACGCCGCGACATCTGGTGTGTGATCAACTCCGCATTCTATCTGTACTTCTGACCACTTTGTCGCTCCTTCCCTTTACTCCAGTAAACCCTGCCTTCTCTACTTACTATTCATTCTTCCCTTCTTCACACTTTTCCCGGAAGATCGCCATTCACACCTGGCGCAAACCCCCAACAAAGTTCGATCGACAGCTGGGAGAGATTACCCAGCTTGCCGCCCAGTAAACGACGTAACAGTCTTTTTGCCTTCCGAGGAGTCCATCACACTTACACCACACTCTCTGTAATCTTCACAAACCACCAACATGTCTAAACCATATGTACGTCTCCCTCGCATCCGTCAGCGTCTCCTGTCGCAATGAGCGCAACCATCCTATCTCCTATCCAATCCAGTCGCAATCACAGCCACGTGCTAACACTTCCTCAGGACCAAGGCGCACCGCCCGCCTACCCCCCACCAACGCACCACGATGCCGGCCCAGCCCCCGGTGGCATGCAACCCTCTTACTACAACCAAGGCGGCGGCCAACCTGACTACTACGGCGGCAGCCCGAACCCCTACCAACAAGGCCAGCCTGGCCCCTACGGACCGCCACAGGGTCAGTACGGTCCTCCTCAAGGACAATACGGACCTCCCCAAGGAGGATACAACGGCCAGCAGATGCAGTACCAGCAGGGCCCGCCGCCCCCAGGAGGCTACTACCAAGACGACAGGAGGGCTGATGGCGGTGGTGGCGGTCTGTTTGCTGGACTGTGCGCGGGTCTGGCGTGCTGTTGCTGCTTGGACTGCTTGTTCTAGACGCGTTGTCGAGACAAGTAAGGCTGGATGGGGTGATGGAGATGGGACGCGCAAGAGGTGGCATACCAGATCGAGCAATTTGGCTTTTTGATCGCCCGAGATGCGTATACCATGCGAAGACGGATCGAGGAGACGAGGATTCCGCGTACAAGCTATAGACCGAGGTTTCTTTTGTTCACACTGGGGTCTCTTTGGATATGACTGATTATCGATTTGGAGGCATATCGAGGAGTGCTGCCAGCTATCAACTTACCTAATTCGACGATTTCTTTCTCGGAATTCCGTTCGTACTTGTTCCTGTCTCGAACACCCATGGTTATGGTTATTGGCTGATTGTACAGGTAATTGTGTTCAAGGACTGTTTGCCAGCACGCCGAGTGCGGCGACTTGAACGAACGTCGTGTTTGCGTGCCACGCAAGTAAAGTCCGAGGTGCCATCAATCACCGCAATGCGCCAATGCGCTCTCTCGGAGTCGAGCGAAATGCAATTGATTGCTGGCACACAAGTACCGATGTACACTCACCTTCGGCCCTTGATTTCTCAACTATAACCGCACGATCCCCTGGACTTACCCTAGAAAGACTGTGAAGCATCGCCGCTACGGGTATATAGATAAGTTTCTGACGACAGCTCGGTCACCGACATCGGATCGCCTGACCGGCGCTCACTCACCGTACAGAGAGGGCTAGACGAGGACGTTGGAAGGCGTGGAAGTTGTGAATCAACAAACACCTCTCATCACATCTTTCTTCACATCTTGAGAACTTCACTGCTGCAGAGTTGAGACATGGCGGACAACAACAACCCCTCAGGGTACACTCCTCCTGCTCCTGATGCCGTTTCCGCTTCCGATATACCATCGCCAGCATCTCCCACCATGGACCTGCCTGGATATGTACCGCCTGTATATGAAGTATGTGGAAATCTACCATATTATTTTCTGCAGATCAGCTAATTAGCTCAGATATCCAAGCAGTGCCAGGAAGAAGCAGAAGGGACCATGTACCCAGACCAGCCGGATAATCCGAACAACGAGCACAAATGGCTGTACTGCGAGAACCACAGCGGGGACAGTCTTGGATATTTTGGATGCGTCTGTGACAAGACACAACAATTTGGCCGAAATCAGTACTTCTCCGCGGATTGCATATTGAGGGAATGCGTCGGTGACGACAAAAGAAGGCGTGCGTACCATGCCCCCACCCCAAGTAGGGGAAATGAAAGTGAGTGAGAGAGCTAATCCATAACTGGCTAGTATTCCTCGAGCAGTACGCCGAAGGCTGTATTGGTAAAACATTGATCGATCTTGATGGAGCCTGGGCTCAGTACAATCCATATATTCCAGTCTCCACTTCTACCACCGCGCAGTCCACCACCACCACCACGAGCTCTCAACCTAGTACGTCTACTCAACCGAGTACACTGACTCAGGCTACAAGCGCGACCACTTCCGCGGCGTCCTCGAAGACTACTACAACGCGACTCACCACCACGATCACCAACTCGACAGCTATAATTATGCCAACTCCGACGGGTCCGGCTGATGGGCAGATACCAATCTGTGGAGTATGCGCCACCGATTTCACTCTTCGATACACTCACTAACATTAGCTAGATCCCGCAGAAATGCATGACGACAAAGCCACAGGGCGAGGCGTTGTGTGTCATGGGCGATCTCGACTGCATCTGCAAGGCCAGCAACTCGCTCGAACACAATACCGAGTTCAATCAGCAGTGCGTGCTCGACGCTTGCTATGGTGACATTGGCAGGGAAGGTAAGTCGTATTCTGTGAAGTATAAACCGCGTCCTTCACCACTAATTCGCTACAGAGTTCCTTGACAGTCTCTTCTACCACTGTAAGAAGGTAGACAAAGAGCTCATCGACATACCGAAACGATGGGAGCCCTACCTCCCAGTCACCTTCCCCTCCGCAACGCCCGACTCGTCGCCCAACGACTCCAAGAACCCTACGTCTGCTCCTCCTGCCGGCGTCAAGCTCAATCCCCAATCCATCGTAGGCATTGTCATAGGAGTCCTTCTCGTTATCAGTGTCGTTATCGGATTGCTGTGGCTCTGGTGGAAGAAAAAGAGGGAGGCCAAGAAGCTCCGCGTCGAAAACGCTCAGATGCTAGACGCTATGAACCCTGAAGGCTTCAGCAACAGAATCAACACCTTGAGGGAGCACTCATCGATTCGGGATTTCTCAGATCTCCAGGGAACCGGCAGTGCAGGCTCCGACGCCGCAGCATCCAGGCACGGTACCGCATCCACCTACAACGACGCGACACTCGTCGGCTCGCCGCGGAGCACGACTGCCTTCCCCCTCAGCCCTACAACCCCTAAGAGCCCAATCCCCGAGTACGGTACAGCCGACGAAGACTGCGCCATGTCGACGTTCGTCCGGAACCCCGGTCATAAGCCCTACAATGACGGCCAATTCGAGCTGCCCAACAACCAGCTTCGCGGCAGTCAAGTCATGCAGGGCCAGCGCAACACGCAAGATGACTCAGCGAGCGAGTACAGTACGCGCCGCCCTAGCTACGGTGATGATTCTATCGACATACGCCAGGACAGGGAATCGCGGGCACAGTTCGAACGGATGCAGCGAGATGAGTGGGCGAGAAATGGGGATCTGGAGCCACGCCACAACCGGGGAGGTGCATTTTGAGATTGCGTGTTTTGGTTTTTTATTGATATTCCTCCGTTCCCACCGGTGAACTGCTTCGAAATATATCCTTGCGACTCGTGTAGCAGTTGCTGCGGATGCCCGTTGGGTGACGAGCTGGGTCTGGGCTTATCTCCGTTGACTAAGTCGTACGGAACTAGGCGGTGCATGCGAACTGGTAGTACAAACAACATGTGTCACTCGACTCTAGGTGCCCGTGTCTTTGCAGCTTACCGTCTCTGGAGTGATAGTCTGCACACTGCCGTTTGCCAAGAGAGACTGAGATTGGTCTGCTAATCGCCCGCCGTTTGTCAGAGGGCAGAGATTTTCAGTGGTGTCACGAGGTTGCGAATTGGACTGGGAGCAAACATTACGTCAGCGGGTGTTGTTGAGGGTCTATAAGATCGGTTTCTGTCGCATCTTACAACTGTTTGGTCTTTTTGAAAGAGTTGAGTGTTACGCAGGCTTAAGATGTGGGTTTACATCATTCTTCTTTGGACCATTGTTCTCGCACAGGATCCTACGCATGATCCCTCCCAGGATGATTGCACTGTTAGGCGTCATACGGAATTTGACGTACCAGACTGTACTGTAAGTCAGGTCTTGCGCTTTTACTACGATGAAGCGCCTAATTTGCTTCCAGGATAGCTGTCTCCTTGGGGACGGCCTCGGAACAGTATGCGCAAGCAATTTCGTATCATTTTGCGACAACAAAGGCGGTATCGATATCTTCTTCAACTTTTACACGGGTTGCATCATTCAATCGTGTGTAGACGACGCAGACATCTACCGTACGTCATCCTCGCTACTGTTTGCCTGACTATTACAGTCTAACTCTTACATAGGCTTCATGATCACCTTCAAAAACGACTGCGAGGGTCGGCTTAATGGACCATTGACCCACATAAGCAACGATGAAGCCGACGAATACCTTCAGTGGGTATTGAAACACGAGAGCACTACTACAGCGTCTGCCACTACAGCTGCAAAGAGCTCAGCCTTTACTTGGCCTGTCACTTCTAGTGACATGTCTTCGAGTACGCACTCTCCAACTTCCAAGCCTGGCGAATCTACGCAGCAATCTTCAGAACCGCCGTCATCATCACCGCCTCCTGCACCATCGTCAGTACCGCCGACTCAGGCTTCCAGTACGGCTTCGCAAGCAGGAGCACCTACACCATTCAACACGGCCAACGTCAACAGTGCTGCGTCGAGCACTACCGCTCCTGGACACATTCACTCCACGACTACTGTCCTTACGGCCCCAAAGCCTACCATCACTGATGCTGCTGCGCCTGCTCTCAGTACTACCGCCATAGCTGGTACAGCAGCAGGCGGTACTGTAGGCATCGCTCTTATAATTGGCCTCATATTCCTCTTCCTGCGTCGCCGCAAGCGTCAATCTTCTCTCGCTTCCTCCGCAGATATATGGGAGCCTTCTCGAAACACTAGCCCGAAGCCCAAACTTCCAAACATCGGCAATGATTCGAGCTTCGGTAGATACTCGGAGATGGAAGCCGGTGCACCGGTGCGTCAACGCTCGAAAGCTGAATTGCATAGCGAGGAAATCCCATCACCACGTCCCCAAACTGGCTACTACATGCCACCAGAAATGAGTGGTGGAGGCAATGAGAGCGCGCGATACTACCAATCAGCACAACGACCTGAACCGCATTGTCATGGCAGCAATATGGACTCTCGATACCCTGAGCTGAGTTCACACGCCGTGACAAGCATGCCGTCACCCACGTCACCCATCTCTCAGTCTTCAACCATGCAAGGCTGGCATGCAAACTCTCCTTCCGGCGCACCCACAATCAGACTGAGCAGCGCCGATCTCCGCAGCGAGGCAATGAGAAGTCCAGTGAGTGAGCTCGGTACCCATGCACCTCTGCGCTCTACACGCTCGGCCGAACTACATGGCGCGGGTACCATGAGTCCGATGAGTGAGCTTGGTACTGATAGCTTTCACGGTGTTGTTCATGAAGCTGCTGAACTGCACAACGAGCCTCTACTTCCGCCGCAGCTTGATCTAAGAAGTCAAGGAAACGTGCCGGATGGCGTCGCGGAGATGGAGGATTCGGAGATGCCTAGAGGACATCGACCTGGGGTATCTACAAACTTCTGAGTTTGCGCTACCTGAGGTGAACCGGAAGTAGTAAGATAGTCGATGTACGGCTAAAGGTAATTAGTAATGGAGAGCGATACTATACGGCATATTCAAAGCCACAGAATTTAATCCGCCGTTCGACTTCAAGTTCGCGAAGAATGTTCATTTGAGTTCTCGTCATATTCTCCAATCTAAAAGCATGTATAGACAAGGATACGTCCAGTATGCATCTCGATTGCAGTGTCTGTAAGGGTCCGTCTCACCGGTACGCTGTACGAACATGCATCGCCGTTGCAGTGCCACGTTCGTGTAACAAATCGTGAAGTGATATCCGTCTTATTGGATCGTTAAACAGTGCTGTCGCACGGCAGACTCGTTACAGCTCAGGGAAACAAAGACGCAACGAAGCTAGACATAGGATCGAGAAACGCTGTTGGATAACCAGCTTACGTTGGAACACATTCAGTGTCGCTCTTTTCAAGGACCTACTCGGTATTTTCTCCCTTCTTCAATGAGACTGAAGTCACGCCATCTTCTTCCCACAATACGTGAAGCTTCCATCAACCTTCCATGCAGGTTTCCGTTAGTGTAAGTATTGACGGGTCGGCCGTTCAGCCCTATTGGGCATTCTCTGCGCCCGTTGGGAGATTAAGAAGCACCAAGGCCGGCCTCTTTGTGGCTATGGACTGGTATACATGAACAAAGTGCCTTGTTTGGAAAGAGAGCCGCATGTTGTCCCGCAAGGTCATCGCTTCTCGCGAGAACAGCGAGTTTCAATAAGCGAGCTCAGTATGTTGTGTACGTCGAGACAGAATATTGAGGAGACCTTTGCCCATGTCGAAATGGAAATTGCAAGAGGATACCGTGCGCAGAAGCCTTTAAGTCTACGGATAAAAGCACGCTGTAGCTCCATGAGTACTGACAGCTCCTTTTCACGGACCTGAACGCTTTGATAGCATCAAGAAAAGCCTATAAGTCTGAACAGAATCAGCTCAGAGCTGCCACACGTATGTATCATACATTCCAAATCTATCGAAACACGACTGACAAAACCTGGGTAGGCACCACAGCAATTCATCTTAAGCAAAAGTCACCATGGCAACTACAACACTCGCCACCGCTCTTATCGCAACCTCCACTGCACCAGCAGAAACCGCCGCTTCCACCAATCCAAACGAGTATGTCTACTTCGGCGTTCACGGCAAAGCTATCATGATCGGCCTCGCAGCCACAGTTGCGCTTCTCTTCTTCATCCTCGTCTGTATGGCGTGCTGCTGGCCTAAGGAGAAGAAAAGGAACGACCAAGGAGGATATGTGACGACAACTTATTGGAATGGAGCTGGGAAGAAGGGGAGGTGCTGTTAGTTCGGATGGTAATGGTATGGGATTAGAGGTTGAGCGATCGCGCGGTTGGTAGGGAGAGTGACATGTGGATGCGGTGATGATCGAGACATAGCGAGGTGCCAATACTATACACTGCAATACAACTAATACAGCTTATTGAACTGAGGTGACTTCTAAACAACATCTTGAAGAGATGGGGATGATAACGCCCTCAAGCCCACTAGAGCTCCACCAACGCCCCGTCGTTAAGTATAGGACCATAAGACGCGCAAGCAGCGCGACCATGACTGCTTGTAAGATGAACTCCTCATTCCTCTTTCTATCTTCACCGTCTTTGCCTGCATTCTGGCCGAACATGACCGACAACTTTACACGCAGTGCACCATTTAGGCACCCCAAATGCAACAACAGTCCCTTTACTATCTTTCGCAACACCATTCACAACGTCCTGTAGAGAGCGCTGCGGGTCGCTCGGCAGATTTTTCAAAACCATCTGTACGGCACTGATGATAGTGTATGCCGCATCGTTGCTAGCTGTATGACCATCGCGAAACTCCACGCCAAAGTGTTGAATCAAAATTGGAAGTCCGATTTGCTGGCCCTTTCCACGAATACCCTGCGCTTTCGCGATCTTCTGGGTATCGATAATGGCGACGACGTTGCTGTCGAATTTGGGGTCGATACCAAGGTCTTGTTGCAGCATCTGCAGATCGTTCTTGACTGAGTGGCCGAGAAATATGACTGGGCATTTAGGACCATCCTCTTTGTCATCATCAATAGGCCATGCGAGTGTTTCGATGAGGAACTCTCTGGCGTCTTCCTTCGTGGCAAAGCGCGTTGAGCCGAAGTGATTTCTCTCGGGGTTTCCTCGGACAAACCTGAAGTTGATAAGGTGCGCGTTCTCCCGGACACGAATGTGGTAGTAGTAGATGTTCCGCAAGATCTTTTCCCCGTGTATACCGGGATTGTTGAGAAGTGGCGCCATCTCTTTTCGCGAAAACGTATTGAGCCCATATTCTGTTAGCACTCGTGGCTCCACCTCGTGCTTTTCGCAGTCCATGGTGACAACGATGGTATGCGCCGCTAGTGGCGGTGCGCCAGACATCTCCATACCAAGGCCATACTGCAATATCTCGGTATGGCTTTTGCCCTTGAAGAAGCGTCGGACCTCTTCCATAGGCGTTTCAATAATATCCGAGACGGTAGCTGTGTTGGTGCCATAGAGCTCCTCGAGAGAATCAACTGAGTTGATTGAAGCGCTGGAAGACATGGCGAGCGATTAATATATGTATGCTAACTACCAGATATTGGGTTTCTGGTCGGGAAGTTTTGTATCGTGAATGTTGTGATTTCGTTGAAGCTATTAAAATCGTGAACGAAGAAAACTTTTCGGGGGTTTAAATAAAGTCGTGTGCCTTCATAGACCCCTGGTTGTTGTTAATGAGGTGCGATTTGGCACGGTGGCCCCATATGTGGTACCAGGGTTCGCGGCGTCGCTACCTGTAACCTATCTCTAGAGATGCCAGTAGAAGCTCGAGTATTACCACGCCAATGGTGACCCCACCATGAGTAGAGCGTATGATAATGCTGCATTGCCGAATTATAGGTACCAGCTTGGTCAGCCCTGCATACTGGAGGGATACCATACGCGGGAATGGCGAAAACCTGCGTTATACTGTCTGATACCTCATTGGCATGCTTACTCTTCTCCGCTGGGTTGGTATTTTGCATTGGTAAGAGTAAAGAATTGAGTAATGCAACAACGTCATCATGGTATAGAACCAAGGGTAGTCCTGTGCTGCATGCTGTGCATTCTGAAACATCGCATGTACGCGCACTTCTTGCTCTACGCAGACGCACTAGGTCGGTATTCGCAGGTCGCGATAGTACCGGATAACGCATTTAGCGACATTACCTGACTTTGAACGGGTGACTTGATTCCAGGAGAGTTACAATTACCTAGGTCATGAGTGGAGCTACAGTATGACCCTCTTTTCCTACCTGAGTTCGCCCAGTGTGCGCCGCTAGCGCCTCCAAACAAGTAACTCAAATAGCAGCTGCGTAACATACTTTTTCGCGTCTTGAATCCGTAGAAGAGGCCGAATTCGTAAACTTGTTGAGCTTTGATCCCACAAGATATCTTATGGAGGAGCCTCGAAATGTAGTTGCCAAAACGTGATATCTCGACCCGAAAGAAGTACTATGCGGTGCATCGCGAAGTCCAACATCGAGCGAACCTTCTCGTACCCTTTAGCCTTCAGCCGATCAGATGTGAGTGGCTTAGAAGCCCATGAGTATGGCGCATTGCTAGACATATCGAGGTCGCCTTGTATTTCGAGCTGATCAAGCGTTACACGCCCGAGCCGATGCATGTCTTTCATTGCCACCAATATGTCTCTCCATGCTGCTATGCTCGTACCTGTGACTGTGACATGCGATAAGCTCACATCTTCCAGAGTCGAGCGATGACGGAGAAGCATCCGAAGCAAATTGCGCCCGTGACTGCGAGACCGGAAGAGATGTAGCGTTCGAAGACTGGTCCAGGAAGACTGCATAAAGACAGTCCGCAGCATCCGGTACTCAAAGTCACAGCTGCGTCCATAGAAGTGTTCGACTGCAGCAGCGTAGATCATCATCTCCGATATCCATGTTAGCAAGGCAGGAACCTCGCTACCATCGATATCAGTCATTGCGCAATCGAAGGTTAGACTTCGTATCCGCGGAGCTATGGCTCTCCAGCTTTGATGACCAGTATCATAAATCTTGCCGTTCGATGGAAGGTTCGCCGCGATGATTGTCAGGTCAACCGAGAGCTTGTCCAAGTCAACCGTGCTCAATATATTGGAGAGATTCTCTAGCAGGATGATCTCGGCGTAATACTCCATGAAGAGAAGGCCCTCGAGATTGAACTCCAATAGAGTTTTCGAACCAGATGGGGCCAAATCGGTGGTCACTTCGATCTCGTGTGCTCCGACTGCGCGATAGAGAGACATGGTACCTCTGCTCCGGAATACGTGCTTGGCGAATCGTTCTTCGTAATATGCCCCTATAGGACGGGGATTGATCTTGATACTCTTCAAATTCGTAAGCTTCCCGATGGCATCTCGAACATATTTAGCCGCTGTGCTAAAGCGATTCTGTTGCTCGACCAGTCTCTTCAGCGTGCCTTCGTACTTTTGAAGCCAGTTGGTATAGCCACCTCGGTCATTCCAACGAACCACTAATGCTGATCCTGAACCTCTTCCAGTAAAGCCTTTCCATAGCGGCTCCGGAAGCTTGACCATGGGCCATACAGGTCGGGCAGAATCCATGTATATGTAGCTCTGAGGGTGTGGACATCCCATAGACGGCTCTTCCCACGGCTCTTTCATATATCGAAGGTCCACATCCAGATTCGTGTTTAATATCTCCGGGCCGAACTCCAACTCTTCCACGTATGTGCATAGATGCTCGTTTTCAGATAGGTCTTTCAGAATGGCCAGACTCCATGGCATCAGGCTGAACTTGGAGGAAGAGAGATGACGCTGTAGGAATGCGTCTTGGATCTTCGAATGGATGATTCGACTAGCGAGACGGAGACTAGAAAGGCTTATGGGGTCGAGGATGAAGCTCTCTCCGTCTGCGTAAGAGGTCCGTGAGTGGCAAATCTGCGTCCAGATCTCAGGAGGTAGGCCTTCAAACGTAGGTTCTGGTTTTCCGGGGAGTGGCGGCTGCGACATCGCTTGTGCGGAAGATAGTTGAATATGCGCCAAGCGGAGAAGTGGTGATGAAGATAGGCCTTTATCGACGTATAACGAGGAAGTGAGCTGAAAAGGTTTATCCGTCTCTCTAGAATCGCCTTGTCGCAGGTGGGCCAGCGAGTAGGACACGCGAAAGACCATCTTCTACCCTCATACCGTGGCTTCTATGGCGATTTCGAGAAGTGACCATAATCAGATGTCAGAAAACCAAAGTCTCCTGCAATATGTCGCCAAACAGCGGCGGAATGGGTAGGCAAAACACATGTTTACGCCTCAGAAACTCCACAGTGTTGACTGGACCCATTAGTAAAGAAAGTTCTAGAAAATTACCGTGACTGCTGCACCAGAGGGAACAGGTCAAACCAATGGCCTATTGTAGTGTTGTCCAGTGCCAGCATCTAGGCAGTGACAATGCCCAGGGTAGCTCGAGGTTGCGTGACGCATGCACATAGTTGAGTTGCAGATGGATGCTAAACCTCCGTGTATCCGTCCAATGGATGCGCACTCGATCAGCCACGCATTCGGTGATCACGTTGCATCTGATCTGGCTATTGAAGAAAAGGAATTCAATGATACCTGGTCGATGTACCTGAATTGCGCAGAAGTTGTAACATGGTGGAGATCGCATCTAGCTCGCGACGAGGTGCGAGGCATTGGATGGGGTGGCAAATTTCTGGTCAAAGCTCCTTGGCGTTGCGTCTCCTTCCATTGGTCCCGCGACGCGAAGATGACGCGACATTCCGCCCTCAGCTTCTGACCACCTGCGCCCACTTGGGCCCGACAGCAACACCTCGCATCGTCAAGCATTTCCAGGTCTGGATTTAAAGAACACACGACAATGGTTGCTCAAAGTAAAAAAGCCTGCTTATTGGGTCACTTTAGACACAAAGGAGATATTTGGCGCATCTGAACAGATTTATTGAAAGCACTGAATCACGCTCATTACCAGAATATCTACGACCGACGCGTCCACCAGCATAAGCACACTTCTGCTTCGTCCCCCAGACCCGACGCGCTCAAGACCTCCTCGGAGCCGCACTCGTCTTCCCAATCCCGCCGCCACCTACGCCAAAAGTACTCGGCCTCTTGCTTGGCTGGAAGCTCATCTGTCTCGTCTCATTTGTGGCGGGCTGGGAGGGCGCCACGGGAACGGGATCCGGCAAAGCAGGCGCGGAGGTCTTCGCCGAACATGGCATTGCCGGAGGAGACTTGGAGGGGGCTGTGAAGCCGGCAAACACAAATGGAGGGGCGGCAGAGGCGACATGCTGAGTCGCGCAGGAGGTATTCCGTGCGTTCTGCATGATAGCAGGAGGGGCACTGAAGGTGTTGTAGCCGACCGGGGGTACCGAAGAGGCAGCGGCCACGATGGCTGGAGTGGAAGCGACCACGACACTGGGGCCAGCCCCGACAACCCTGTTGCCAAAGACGCGCAGACCAGACAGCGGATACCGAATGCCATGAAGGCGCAAGCCACCTAGACAATGATTAGTAAATGGTCTTCAAATCAGTAGAGGATATGTTAGGAGAACATACCTTGTGGAAGGAGAGGACAGGGGAGGCCATCAAAGACCGCCATGGCGTAGTCCAAGTAAGTCTGGAACTGGGTTCCGTCGATACCGAGCTCCGCAAGGTCAATGCCAGCATTGCCCGCAAGAGCCCCAAGGAACAACACCACGACGGTCATCTGAAGACCTCCCGCCTCCACCATCCGGTGGATATACTCCTTGAGGGCGTTGAATATGGCGACCTGGGCGTCGCGCTGGTACATATCGCGGCCGTGCTGAAGAGCGATCGGCTCCAGCTCGTTCACCCTCTTCCTCTTGGCCTCAAGGGCCACCTCCAGCCGGTTCCGCTCGCAGAGAAGGGTCGACACCGTTGTGTCGTTGTGCTTGTGGATGATGGCATCTTTCAGCCGGGAAATCTCGTCGCACTTCGACTGAAGCTCGCGCTTCAGCTTGGCGATGGTCTGGTTGGAGGCGAGACGGTCGGCGTCAACGGCGTTGACGTTGTAGTGTCGCTCATACATGGCGACTTTGCCAGTCAACTTGTTGATCTGGCGCCGGAGCGTTTCGATGGTGGCCTCACAGTCGACCAGCGACTGCTTACCGGGAGGGGGGACGTAAGCGGCACCCGAATTCTGCTCAAATGCAAGCACTTGAGCTTTCAGGGCCGCTATCGTTGTGTCGCGAGAGAGCAGAGCAAGCTCGCGAACCAGCGCGGCGAGAGTACGGACAGAGGAAGAAAGGGCGCGGCAGGCGGGCGGCGAGGACCGAAGGACACAGCAGCCGGCGAAAAACCATGGCCCAAAGGATGGATGGGGACCAGCCCCATCCTCCAGCGCAGCAAGGAGAGGATTCAGAAGGCCGAACGAAGTTGCGACCTGGAGAGCGAACAACATGACTGCGGCCAGCGCAAAGAAGAGGAAAGTAGACGACATGTCGGTTTGTTTTGAGGGTTTGTATGTCGTTATGGGGGAAAGTGTAAGATGGATGAGCAAGTCAAGAGCAGGAGGTGGACTTTATATGCTGGC